TCAGATTTTCCAAACTCCCTTTCCTCGTTATGTGTTTCAGTAATTTCGACTCTTCCTGATTCTAAATATAAGCATCTTTTTGTTCCCATTTTCCTTAAAACTTTTTTGTTACCCACATTAGTTTGGCTGCATGTAGAAAGACAACATGAGTTATCAGAATTCTAACAGGTTCTGATAGTAAGGCTTAGATAGAACATTCCATTTCTGAAATTCTGGAAATATTTGACATCTACACTAGCATGTGTGAACTAGGAATAACTGATGGAAAGCATTAGCATCCATGATAAGCAATGCAATGATCAACTGTGGGTCCTTAATGATTGTGACCAGAGATGTCTTTCATAATAGACAAGTCACACTGGCTCAGATCATAGCCACATTCAATAGAGGAGGTGCCAAATGTGTATGAAGCAGGTTAGTTCAAGGTTCTTTAGTTTACATGGAATATGTAAACTGAAAACCTACCTGGATGACCCTGTTATCACCATGACAGCTGAACACATCACCTCACCTGATCTTGGACCCTGGAGAATTGGCAGTGTGTAGTTGTTTCATCAGTTATGTTTCTTGTCATTTAAGGCTAATAGAGGTCAGGTGTAACACAGATACCATGTTGTCAACATGGGATCTGTGTAAGCTTGTGGTGGTTCCATAATGGTGTGAGCAGAGTTCACATGACACCAGTTTGCTAATCTTTTTAAATATGTCATTGACCAGTGCACTGCTTCATAACCATTTTCAACCATTCTTAGATGAGTGCAATATACTGACTCATGAAGCCCATGTTGCCCAGAATTGGTTTGAGGAACATTCTGGGGACTTCCAGTGACAGATGTGGCCTCCATGTTCGATTAACATAAGCCTAATTGAACATTTTTCAGATATGATAGAAAGTTCTGTTTGCATACAAGATTATGCATATATAAATATCAGGGACGCTGTTAATAGTTATCAAGACGGCATAACTCATCATTTCACTAGAAGTCTTCTGACCACTTGTGGAATCAATGTCCCATTGATTTTCTGTGCTTTTCTAGGCTCAAGAGGATCATTCCCAATACTAGCAACTATCCCATGTCTTGGTATGTATATAGTAGCACACACATATTAGTATATGTTCATGTATACAATCTGATATTGAACTATATTGTAGTATATTCCAACATGCTATGTGTATTAGAAAAGTGATTTTCACTGGCCATATGTTTATATGAAACTGATTTTGCTAATTCAACTACCTCCCAGTTAGAACTAAAACAGCAGATCAACAAATAATGTTATAGAAATTAAAAGACAAAAAAACTAGACAAAAATAGTCCAATAGCAAGATCATTTAAAAAAAAGAATATTTCTGCTGTAAAAACATTTGCTAATAATCCACTTGATATTCAGAATAGCAATCAATCTGCATAAAGGTGAACATTATTACAAGTGTGGTAAAGAAAAGAATTGGGAGGAGGAGGAGAAAAATATTGACTTTTATTCATTCTTAGTTTTCTCTTTTCATATCATTTGAATATTTTGAATCTTATCTTTCTAAGAGGAAATATTAATGTCTCTGTGTGAACTTAAAAAGCTGTATTCTCGTCTCTTATTTTTAGAAATATGATAAGGGTCAAGGATTATAGCTTTTAAAATATGTATTTTAGAGCTTTTTTTTATATTGAACACTGTTTACTTATACTCTCTGCACTTTTTGTACACTTCATTCTTTTAGATATTTATACGCTCATATACACACACAGACACATATTTATTTTAGGATATTGCATCAAAAAGATGTCAAAATCACTACACAATTGCAGTCATGTTTCAATGCATATCAATGCATCTCATCAGGTGATTGTAAATTACAGGTGAGTGAATGATTTATTTAGATTTAAAAACAAAACTCAACCTCTTTTTACAAAAAAAAAGACAAAAAGGTGGGATTATAAGGTTTGTGGGCTTTACTCTGATCAACCAATCAAATGTGACCTATGATAAATTTAAACTAAGTGAAGAAGCAAAAATTAAAAAAAATTTTTTTTTATAAATTGGTCATGACCTGTAGATTGGCAGTCAGACATAAACTAGAGTGGATGTTACATAAACTATACAAACCAGACAATGCAGTTTCCTCATAAATAAAAATGGGGCTGGAGAGGTAATTTAACAAAATGCTAAACAAGTTATATACTTTGTGAATTTCCTACATAAATTTTTTTTTCTAGTTGATAAATAAATAGCTTCTTTAAGAAGCTAGTAAATAATTTAAGCATATAGAATTATTTGGTAAATTAATATACAAAGATTCTTCATATAAGATGTTATTAACACTAACCAATCAATGTAAAATGTCAAAAATATCAACCAAATACCAATGCATCCATACAAAATGTTACTAATACTACCAGGAGATTAATACAAAATGATGTTAATCCAAATTAATCTTACAGATAGACATATAAACCATATATGGTGCTACACAGTACAACTAAAATATAAAAAAGCATAATCAAATTCTAAAATTTAACTAAATTGTGAGATAAAAGTTAAACTATGTTTAGAATTTATTTTAATTCATTTCTTTGATTTAATAAGGAATTTTTTATTGAATCTGATAATTTCCAATTTTTTATGTAAGCACAAAAACAGGGTTCATATAAAGATCTACATGTCCTTGACATTTTAAAAATTTTCCATTACACCTTAGGAGTCTTATTATCATTAAATTCAAAAATATTTAGAAAGTGATGTATTATTTCTATAAGTACTATTGGTGAAGGACGAGATATGTTGATACCACATAGTCTTAAAAGAATTCTTAGTACTACCAATATAGAATTTTTCAACCAAAGAATTCTCTATTGTAGAGATAGTACAAAGATAAACAAGAGATTTAGTTATATATAAAATATGTGGTGCAGTTTAATTGATATCAAATGGTGAAATCCCTTTGCTAACTAAATTTTAAAGATGCATTAACCCACTAATCAATTGATGAATATTATGATCCTTGTTTTTTAAAATTATAAATTTATTAGGTCTTTAGTTTGCATCTTCAAGTCCTTGTGGGAGAAGAATTACTTTGCACACTCCAGCCTCTCTCTCTCTCTCTCTCTCTCTCATGGGTGAGATGTGGTGAGTCTCTCATTGCTCTCTTATTATTACTATTGAAAGTACTTGGCTAAACTGCATCTCTTGGTACCACCATGTTTGACCTTCATGGCTAGGATCTGCCATGCCACTTACATAATAGCAAATCACCCACAGCCCCTCCATATTCCATTGGTGAGAAGTAAGTTTCACTCAAACAGTTTCTTCCTGCAAATCACTGCCCTATGGAACAGACTCCCAAAAAGATGTTTTCATAATCACTACAATCTTAACCTGTTTGAGTCTAGAGTCAACCATTATCTTCCCCTTCTATCCATATAATCAACCCCTTAACATAACCCTCTACCTCAAGTGGCTCCCTTGGACTTGTACAGGGTGAATCTTACTGAGCAAAAAAATCAGCATCAGTCAGATAAGTAACTAATTTTTTTTTTTTTTGTAGTTTAAAATCAGGCTATCATGTTAAAAATTAAATTCTTAATTTGAGTTTCATTATCAACATTTAATTTTTTGTTTGATTATACATCTTTTTATCATATTTTTTCTATAAAATTTATTTCTTTTAATTTATTAACTTTATCAATTTTAGCTTATTGTATTTCTTAATTTTCTAAAAACCTAATTTTATCAAAAAATTTCTCTGATACTTGTTTATTGATTATAGTGTCAGTGAATGAAAAATAATTCTGGTTTAATGTTTTTAAGCAAAATGCTGAAACATGGCAAGCAGTTGTTGATAAATTTGTATTTATTTTTTTTTTGATCACTTCCTAAAAGTTAATGATCCATCAATTTTGTTGCTTTTAAGGTGTTGTCAAATTTGAGAAATCAATTTTTGGTCTGTGTTATTTTTTAATAGGATTTATAGATTAAATGTTTCATGCTTCATGTGTTAGGGTTGTCCCTTAGACTGAGCCTGTTTTTAACCCTAGAACACTAACCATCAATTAAAGTTACAGCACTACACCCGATTTTGAAAATATCAAAAAAAAAAAAATATTAAATATAAATCTTTATTTGAAATATTTTACATGCAGGCACTTCAAACTTTATACTTTGAGTTAATAGGAATTAATAGGAACTGAAAAACATTATTTAGGTAAGAAAATCAGGTACTAAAAATTGTAATTAAAAATAGGAAAATTTTTCAAAATAAATAAAAATTATCCTCTGATGACTGACAAACTACTCATATGACTTTCAAGGTCCTGTGAGCCACTGCTGAAGGGGGTACTGGTCGCGAGCTGCTGCGGCTTCTGTAGACGAGACATGGAAAAAGGTCTTATTTTATCTACCACAAAAATCACTTTTTTATACTAATAATTTTTTTTTTAACTAAAATGACTGTAGCAACTGACTATTTATTTGTTATGTACAAGTAAATAAAGTCTTCAGGTGCATTTCTACTTACCTCAGCCTCATATACAGTTGCTACACATGGTGTAATAGTGTTTGGGACACGCAGCTCATTGACAGGACACACACCAGAAGCGTGTTTTTTTGTCTGCCTTCATGGGACAGACAACACTGCACACCATGGGATCCCTCATGTCTGCTGCAGGTAGTCCAGAAACTCTTGAAGGTCCAGCGGGAGTGGGTAGCTCAAAAACAGTGCATATATGATCCTTGAGCTGCCTCGGCAGGGTGTGACCTGAGAGGCAATGCACTGCCAAGGTTTCACCAGTTACTCAGCCAACACCTGCATAAACTGCTTCCTCTTCATCTGTCTTCCACATATTTTCCCCATGGATGATCCAGGAGTTGATGATCCCCAGTGTTCAGCATGCCATAGAACATACAGAGTGGCCACCTCTTGGTCTTCCTGCCACATGAATATTGACCACACATTTGGTCGAAAGTGTCCACTCCTCCTTTCGTCCTATTGTAGTCCTTGATGATGGTTAGCTTTCCAAGGACTTATCTCCATGCACTGAAGACAAGAGAAGGATAATTTTCTTGCTGGAATAAGTGTTGGTCACATACGACACCAGTGTCATGTCCATCGTGAACAGGAAGGCACTGGAACCTGGAGCCCATGTCATCTTGTCCTTCATCTCTTCTGGTATCTCTGGCTTGTTTCCCTTGACTGTCCCAATCAGCGTCATCCCACAATTGTGCAGCATATCCTGGATGAGGGGCATAGAGGTGAACCAATTGTCGGTTGTTACATTCCTGTTGGTGTTGTGGTAGCGCTGTGTCAGGTCCTTGGTGAAGGAGTTGCCAAAGTTTTGCCCAACTGTCGCCCATGTCCCCTGCTTCTCAAGATAGGAGATCCCTGACAGCATGTACTTGCTCTTGACATCATTTACCACGATGATCTTGGTGCCGTACTTTGCTGGCTTATTTGGGATGTACATGTGAAAGGGGCAGCAGCCATGGAAGGCAAGCAACTGCTCATCAACAGTCAGGAACTTGTGTGGGATATAATGGGTGTCACAGGCCTTGATGAAAATATCCCACACCTTTCTGACTGGGGCAAATCTGTTGGTTCCTCTACACTGTTCTCTGGTATTAGAGTCATCAAAGCATAGGCAGCTGAGGAGGAAAGTAAAGTGCCCCTCAGACATAGCTGCCCTGTAGAAATTGGAACCAACTTTAGGGCTCCAAACTTCTTTAGTGGAGAGGTGGCTGTCTCTCCTGTAGCCACTAAAAATGAGGACCCCAAACACGGCACATATCTCCTCAGGTGTTGTGGGTTGTATTGTGGCCTTCTCATGCTTGCATTTTGCTGCATCAATGTTTATTTTTTGGTTCGTCCACTGCACAATTTCACTGATGATTCCATCCACAAACAATGAAGAGAAACACTTCTCTGAGATGTTAGCTTCGGAAGCTTGTTGGGAGGGGCCAGGCTGGACACCATGTAATATATTTCTTACAGGAGTATGTACTGCTCCTGCATTTGGCTTAGTACTCTACATAAAGCCTTTTCTAGATCTAATGGTAGCTGTGTTGAAGCCTACAACAAGCTCATCACAATCTGTTTGAGGTACAGTGCATCGTCATCATCCATGGGGAGCAGCAGGGACAACAGCTGGTGGAGCAACAGATGCAGCACCAGATGCAGTAGAAAGGCCTACCATAGGCAAGGCAGGGCTAACACACACTACTTTCTTTTTCTTTCTTGGAGGTACATCCTCCAAGTCACTATTGTCACTAGGTTCTTGCACATATTCTGCATTAATGTCACTGTCATATAATCATCAGAACTCTAACATAAAATAGCCTCTATTTCACTGTCTGGAATTGATTTCTTACTCAAAGCCATTTTAAATAAGCCTGTAATCTGAAAGGGTAAAATATGTTTGTAAGTAACACATAATCACTATTTACACAGCCTCATAATCCTGTTTTTCATTCCACCGTTGATCCCTAAAAAAGTACATAAACACTATCCTGGGTAGGCTATACCCACCGTGCACAACACCAAGTATCACCAACCATGGATATACCTTACCCAAATGCAGGCCTACAGCACTGGGAAGAAGAGAGAGCGAGATGACGCAACCTTACTCTACACTGTCAAGTGGGCAACTGAAGCTACTAAGCAACTGGGAGCCCTCTCAATGACATCATTTGCACTGGGTACTATATACCCATGATTAGTGTTCTAGGGTTAAGTGCAACTTTTTGATAAACTTATCTGGATAAATGTCTGTTTGTTCAAAGCTTCATTATTTTCTAAAATTTAGATTTTAATTTCAAAGGAAGAATTTTGGAGATTTGTTTGCTGTTTGAATGAAAAACTGTAAATAATGTCAAATTGTGAGAATAACTGAAAATTGATTTCTACAAACGGAATATGAGATTCATCAGTGTTGTTATTATTTATTTTTCATTTACACTTAGTTTATTTCTGTGATTAAACTTTTTCAAATTCATCAACTGCACTTAGATGATTTAATAAATCAAAATTTCCAGATGCAGTTTTGATATAAATTCAAGCTAAGCTATTTATCTGTTTGCAGAATTATTTATGCTGTATAAGGGTGTGATGATGATCTGGAACCTTTCAGTAGAGAAAAAACAGAATCAGTAAGCTGAATTCTTTAACTTCCTACACTCCACACCGATACCTTTGAAAAATGACTGAGCAGGTCATGTATAAAGGTTCCACTATGGAACCCAGTTTCTTGGCCTTGTAATATTTAGTAGCATGTGGTCTGAAAAGGTTGGTTCAGCTTATATGCATTTGGTAACTAGAATTCCTACAGATGGTGTTGACAGAAAGTGAGAAGAAAGGATTAAACATAAATTGTAAGAAGACAGAATGTCTGGTTGTCAGCAAGAGGAACAGCTTAACAAGCAAATTACAAATTGGAGATAATAAAGTCAAACAAGTTCAACAATTTAAATATCTGGGAAGAGGACGGAAAGTGCATCATGTAAATCTGAAGGCACATTGCCATAGGGAAAGATGCTTCCCTAAAGCTAAGTAAAGTATCAAGTTACAGAAAAATTTAATCCAAAACAAAAGAGTACTGAAGTGTTATGTAAAATCATTCCACTTATATGAAAGTGTTGTAATGCTCATATCAACTCATAGTTCAGGTTAATAATATTCCAAAAAAAAACATTGGAACACAAAATTAGAGAAAGAACTGTTTAATCACATGGATTAATATTACAATACTAGCGAATATTATAATTAGTGCAATACTCTTTGCAAATACCTTGTGTCTAACTTGTGACTTCTTTCATAATCAGTGGAAGAGTCCATGTTTGACATTTTAGTGTAGGGAAGGTTGGTCGTCTTTCTCCACAACAGGCAGTAAATACTGGTCAATCTCCTTACAGATGAAGAGACTTGAGATAACAGATGTGGTTCTGCAGAAGGATGCTGAAAATACCATTGACCAAACATGTGACCAACAAAAAAGTTTTAAAGAAAATAGAAACAAAAAGGACCTTTATGCTTAGAATCAGAAAGGAAGGGTTGAAATTTCTAATGATGAAAGAGGGTTTGGAAAATTTGATACTTACACAGCAGATTCAAGGCAAGAAGGAGAGAGGAAAACAATACATAACCTACCTAGTGAGCATGAGTAAATGGACAGTGGAATAAGGTTTGGAAGATAGAACAAAAAGACAATTTATTAGGACAGGAAATTGTGGAAACACATGATCACCAACATCCTGGAGGAATATGGCACATAGGAGAAAACTGTTTCTCTTGGCAGTGGTTGACAACTGCTGCTAATACCTGAAGAAGGAGGTTGGCAATAAAGAACAAGAGCATGCAAAATGGAATTAAGATATATTTATTTATATAGAGTACATCGAGTAAAGATGAAACTAGTTTTGTTTGCCTCACAAAAAGTGAATATGAAACATTAGTCTGTTTGTCAAACATTTATACCACACAGTGCAAAGAAAATAAGCATCTCTTTATTCTAAAATTTGTACCTGCATTTCTGGGACAGTAAATTCTGGTTGCTGATTGAATACTCAGCTAAATTCTTTGGGGGTTCATGTGACCTTTTATTGTGGATACATACAGCTAGTAACTTGTTTCATGGTTGGTTGACTTTTTTTTTGTAATCCACTTTTCAGGTTCCTTTCTTTTCTGAAGTCTTTCAAGTATGTGGAATGCCTCTTGACAGTTTTTGCTTGGTTACTTTCTTAGCCATGGTCACAACAGTTATTTGCAAATTGTCAATTGTAGAAGGAAGGAATGAAAAAAAAAAAATGTACTTGTGTGTAGCCATCTTTGAAAATGTGATTTTTATATTTTTTTTATCTAAATTATGTTGTTTTGTTCTGTGTTCATTATAAGTAATTCTCTTCCAGCATTCTTTTTATCATCAAATATTTTGAAAAAAAAAAGATCTTGTTACAAGCATGCCATAATGGCAAACAATATATAGTGATATGTAAATTTCCATGTTGCCTAAAAAAATGGCATGGAAATTAAACTTTATTTTCATTTCCATTCATTAAATTGATTGTCCCAATTATAAAAAAATAAATCTGTTGTTATTGACTAATTAAATTCTGATTGTTTAATTAAGAATTATTATTGTTTAATTAAGAATTATTATCATTTAATTAATAATTTTGTGCATATTTTGTTAGAAAATGACCACCAATCAATGGCAAACTAGGGTAAGAAATAGCTTGTAAATTTTAATGCATCCAAAAGAAAATGACTATCATTTGATCTCTATAGTGAATCTTTTTTTGTCTTCTATCAATATTGTTAATGCTATCCAGGTGAGCAAGTCTTTGCATGATGGTCTCATGTTTTCCATTGACATGAAGTGGAGCAATTATATTGACTACTAGGAAAGTTGGTTCACTCTATCGTACTTGACAATTTTCTCTTTGGAATCCATCTTGCACATTTAAAATCTACCATTCGTCCGTGCATTGAATACTGCTGCTGTATCTGATCTGATGCTTCTGCTATATGTCTCAAGATTCTGGACAAAATCCAAAAAAAGATCTGTAATGTAATTGTTCCTGACCTGGCATCTCAACTTCAGTCTTGACATGGTTTCTCTCTGTCTTTCCTATAAGTATTTATTCTGATCACCTTTCTTTCTTGGTTGCTTGACTGCATGAATTTAAACATAGTACTAGATTTTACTGTTGAAATAGCTATGGTCTAACCATCGGTTCTATTGTAATAATTTCTTTTCTTGCACTTCTCGCCTCTAGAACTCTCTTCTGGTTTCTTGCTTCCCTGCCAACCTCCAATCTTCAAAGATTTAATCGTAATGCCAGCTACCATCTTTTGTCTTCCTGAATCTGGTCTTTTACTGTCCTTTCTCCTCACTAAAGTCTTACCATTCTATTTCACTCCCAGGAACCCCTTGTGTCTTAGTGACATTATCACTATTGCTTGAAAGTGTTATATTAACACCGGCCCAGCAGAAATAACACATTTTGTAACAATTTGTACAAGTGATAGAAAAAGAGTCTTATGACTCATTATGGCTAAAAATGCTTGTTGTTAGGATTGTTTTCTCTTGCTGTGGGGATTTTAAATAAGACAGGCAAGTTTTCTATTTTCCATGGAGCCAAAATTTGTGTTCTCATCTGTGCAATTTTCTATTTTGTTTTAATTATTACAAAAGTTATTTCCATCCTTTCAACAGCCATATTATATTCTTTCCATATGAACTACACATCACTAGTTTTATTATTGAAACTTATAGTCTTCTATTCAATTATGTATGCTTGCTAGGGTGGCTAGCTAATCCCTGTTGCAGATGCCTGCTCAGGCACATTAATGTTTAGTACCCATCATGCCAATCTGTGGTTTATAGTGAAACTATACTGAGTTTGCATTTCTGAGAGAGACAGCATAATCTGGCATGATCACAGATTTGAAGAAAGCCAGCAATGACTTGTGACTTTGTGTTAGCACAGGGCTTGGCAACCCCCCCCCTCTGGGCTGTAGATGTATTTGTCGTATTGTCAGGTCTTTTGTAGACTAACTTCCTCTCGTACACTGCATATTTATATTTGCTCAAATCTGGTGGTCGCCGTGATTTTGTGTCAATTTGTCAGCATAAAAACATAAAAATAATATGGCTTCCCCATGAGATTCTTTTTACATATG